GCAGCAGCAGCAGCAGCAGCACCAGCGGCCGCACCAGCAGCAGCCCCCCCTACTGCCACTGCCCCCGGTTCCCCCTCCCGTTTGGGTCCCCATGTCTCACCAGGTTGCTTCGTCCCCCCAGGTGTCTGTGTTGTGTCAGGTTCCTACGTCTGTTCCAGTCGCTGCGTCGTGCTCCTGCCGGTCGCTTGCCCACCCCACCGTTCTGTGGCACCACCGGATGGGGCACCCGTCCCTTCCTCGTCTGCGCGCTATGTCTAGTCAGCGTCTTGTCCTAGGCCTCCCACGTGTCTTGCCGTCGCTGCCGCCTTCGCTTGCGCCGCCGTGTCGTCCCTGCGTCGAGGGTAGGCTGCGCGCCACCCCTCACTCCTCCTCCCTTCGTCCGGCCACCGAGCCTTTTGAGACGCTTCACTTGGACGTCTGGGGCCCCGCCCCTCGTCTAGGCCCTGAGCGTGAGCGTTACTTTCTGGTGGTCGTTGACGACTTCTCCCGCTACACCACAGTGTTCCCTCTGGCGAAGAAGTCTGAGGTGACTTCTACGCTGATTAGGTGGTTGCTCACCACCGAGGACACTCGTGGTCGTCGTGTCAGCTGTCTCCACTCCGACCGTGGGGGTGAGTTTCGCTCCGGCATTCTCGCTGGATTCTGTCGCGAGCAGGGCATTCGTCAGTCCTGGACGCTTCCAGAGTCCCCACAGCAGAATGGGGTTGCTGAGCGCCGCAAAGGCCTGGTCATGGAGATCGCCCGCACCTCCCTGACTCACGCCTGTGCCCCCCATTTTCTGTGGCCCTATGCGGTCAGGTACGCCGCGCACTAGCTGAACCTCTGGCCACGTGTCTCTCGACTAGAGGTTTCACCGACCAGTCTTTGGACAGGGTCCCCTGGTGTTGCGTCGCGGTTTCGTGTCTGGGGGTGCTTGGCTCTTGTCCGCGACACCTCCGCGGACAAGCTCTCGCCTCGTGCCGTCCCCTGTGTCTTCCTTGGTTTCCCTGAGGACTCCTCTGACTTCACCTTTTACCACCCTCCCTCTCACCGGTTCTTTGACTCCCGTGACGTCCGTTTCGAGGAGTCCACTCCGTACTACATCAGGTACCCCAGTCGAGGTCTCCAGGTTCCTCCTCCCCCCCTCTTCCTGACTGCCGCTCCCCCTCCTGTTCCCCCGGTACAGCCTCCCCCCCCTGGCCCAGCCCCGTCAGGTGTGTCCCAGGCTACCCCTCCTCCTTCGGTAGCCCCTCCGGTACAGCCTCCCTCCCCACAGTCCTCCTCGCAGCGTGCCGCTGGTGCTAGCTCTCGAGAGGTTGGTGCTGCGCCTGTTCCTGTACCGGTTTCTGGTTTTGGGGGTGCTGGAGTTGGAGCTGGTGTTGGAGCTGGAGGTGGAGCTGGAGTAGGCACTGGAGTTTCTGGTTCTGGGGGTGCTGGAGTTGGAGCTGGAGTTTCTGGTTCTGGAGTTGGAGCTGACCCGGTGGGTGCAGAGGACTCTTGTCGTCCGGGAGCCGGTGCTGGCCGCGCGGACTCTGGGGGTGCTCCCTCTGGGGGTGAGGGTGCGCCTGCTTCGGGTTCTGGTGCGCCTGGGTCTGGAGCTGGTGTTAGTGCATCCTCTGGGGGTGGTGCGCCTGGTTCTTCGGGGGTTGACTCTGGAGCTGCCGCTGCTTCGGACACTACTCCGCCCCCCCACCCCTACCCGACTAGGCACCAGGCTCGTGTTCGCCGTGCGCGTGACGAGCAGCTGGAGTTGGAGAGAGAGGAGAGGGAGTTACAGCGGCTGGCGGAGCAGCAGCAGCAGCTGGACCCGCAGGAGCAGCAGTCCCAGCAGCAGCCGCGTCCGCAGCAGCAGCAGTCGCAGCAGCAGCAGCAGCAGCCACTTCCTCCTCCTGTCTCGGGTCTTCGGGCCCTTGGTCTCCCCTCCCCTTCTCCTCCCTCCTCCGCCTCTCCTCCTGTCTACGGTCCCACGTTTCCTCCGCCTGACTCCTCCCCCGCTGTTTTCTCTAGTTCTCCGCCTTTGTCCTCTCCTCCTCCGTCTCGTTCTTGGGCTACTCGTCGCTCCCCTCGTGCTCGTCCCTCGTCTCCTGTTCCCTTCACTGACCTTCGTACTGCCTTACTTTGTTCCAGTCCACCTCGTCCGTCTCAGTCTGTGCTTCCGTCTCCTCCTGAGTCGGCCCTCACCGTGTCGCTCCCTGCTCCTGTCACTGACTACTACCGCACATACCGTCCTGTTCTCTCTCGTGTTCTCGCCTCTCTTGTTACTCACCCTCGTGCCTCTGTGTCCTCTGTGTCTGCTCTTACTGCCGCAGTTACTGACTTTGCCTCTACGCGTCGCCTTGACTACGCCACCACGCTTGTGGCTGCTCCTCCTACCAGTCCTCTGGCCGTCGGGGGTGTGTCTGCCCTTGGCTGTGACGCCCTAGAGGACAGGCAGTTTGAGCTAGAGTTCCTGGCGGCCGCTTCCCCTCATCTCTGTGCCATGCTCCTCGCCCCTGAGGGTGACCCCGACGCCCTTGACATTCCGACTCCTCGCACTTACGCTGAGGCAGTGTCAGGGCCTTGGGCCTCTCAGTGGAGAGCTGCCATGGACGCAGAGATGGCCTCCTACAGATCCACAGGCACCTACGTCGATGAGGTTCCCCCCCCTGGGGCGAACGTAGTCGACGGCATGTGGATCTACAGGGTGAAGCGGCCACCGGGATCTCCCCCGGTCTTCAAGGCGCGCTACGTGGCTAGAGGTTTCAGTCAGCGCGAGGGAGTTGACTTCTTTCAGACCTTCGCACCTACCCCGAAGATGACCACTCTCCGGGTGTTACTACACGTAGCAGCACAGAGAGACTACGAGTTACACTCTCTCGACTTCTCCACTGCTTTCCTTCAGGGCAGCCTACACGAGGAGGTCTGGTTACGTCGTCCCTAGGCCTTCACTGGCACTTTCCCTCCTGGGACCCAGTGGAGGCTGAGGTGACCTGTTTACGGTCTTCGCCAGGCCCCTCGTGAGTGGCACGACACTCTGCGTTCTACCCTCTCTGACCTTGGGTTCCAGCCGTCTTCTGCCGACCCGTCGCTGTTCGTTCGTCGTGGCTCCACACCGTTCTTTGTCCTGGTCTACGTCGACGACCTCGTTTTCGCCACTCCGGACAGGGTTGCTTTGGCAGACGTGAAGTCCGAACTGCAGAAGAGACACACGTGCACTGATCTTGGTGAGCTGCGCCACTACCTTGGCCTGCAGATCACCAGGGACAGAGCCGCTCGCACCATTACACTCTCACAGTCACACATGGTGCAGCAGGTCCTTCAGCGGTTCGGGCTTCAGCACTCCACCGTACAGCGCACACCTCTCGCTGTTGACCACAGACTCACTGGTCCCTTTCCTGACGAGCCGTTTGAGCCTAGTGGTCCCTACGCAGAGCTTGTGGGTTGCCTCATGTACCTGATGACTTGTACTCGCCCGGACCTCGCCTTCCCTCTCAGCATCCTTGCGCGCTTTGTTGCGCCAGGGAGACACCGTCCTGTTCACTGGACGGCAGCTGTGAGGGTGGCGAAGTACCTAGCGACTACATCAGGCGTGGGGCTAGTTCTTGGAGGGCAGCAGTCTGTCGTACTCACTGGTCACTGTGACTCCTCTTACGCTGACGACGCTGAGACTCACAGGTCTACTCAGGGGTACTGTTTCAGTCTGGGTTCTGGAGCTGTTTCCTGGCGTTCCACGCGCTCCTCTTCTGTCTCGACCTCTACAGCTGAGGCTGAGATTTACGCTGGTGCCATGGCGGCACAGGAGTTGCGGTGGTTGACCTTCTTGCTCGCCGACCTTGGTGAGCGGCCGAGCTCTGCACCGACCTTGTTTACTGACAACAAGGCGTCGATCCTCCTCTGTCGTGAGCCGCGACTGGAGAGCAGAGTGAAGCACATTCACGTCAGGTACTTTCTTCTGCGAGAGTTGCAGAGACGTGGACAGGCTCGCTTCGAGTTCGTGGAGTCCGAGGCCAACACTGCAGACATCTTCACCAAGGCGCTTCCGCCTTGTGACCACCAGAGGTGTTGTGTGCAGTTAGGCCTTGTTGACGCAGGTTCTAGTCATGTGTAGACTTGAGTTTATTGCCTGCTTCGTCTGTACACTTGCTATATATACTTGTGATCTCTTGGACTGGCCTTGTGGCCACTGTTGCTTGTGCTCAGAGTGTGTGGTGACGTTGTGATCCACCCTGAGCGTTGTTTTCTTTTGGACTGGTCTTGTGACCGTAATCTTTTTGATTTTGCTAGACACCCCTCACTTAGGCTATGGGGGTGTGTCAAATGTTGTAGCCTGTAGTGAGGTTTGTCTTAGGGGGTACAGAAGTTAGGGTTTGTTATATGTACCCCAACCAACATCAATGGAACCATTCATTCCTCATTTTAACATACTATTGGTTGCGACCAATAGGATTGTGTCCACCCAGTTTTCCCGCCGGGCAGGGGGGCTAAACATAGCGCACCACCTCGAGTATCGCGGTGGGCTTGCCACAGAAATGAAAGTTGCAATTTGGGCCACCCCACACACAACAGCATGTATACAACCACGGCTCTAAGTACAAAACCACAAGCATCACGTAGCTAAACTGCACCACTGTCTAGCAACCATGGCATCGCCCCGCGAGGTGCCATTCCTCATGCGCCTACTTGTCGCATGGGTTACGTTCTACTACAGCATATTCATGGACGCCATCGCCAAGTCGGTCGGTAGCTTGCTGGAGGCGAACGTCTTCAATGACGAGGTGTCATTGTCATCCAGCTCTCGCGCCTCCAACCGTACTGCACAGCGGAAACGAAGGGCTGGGCTACGCCGGCGGAGATACCAGTTGTTGCTAGAGGACTTGGACGACATGGGGGAATATCAGCTCAGAGATATGTTTCGTATAAACCGTGGCATTCTCGAATACATTGTCGCCGGGATGACGCACTACATGCAACCGTACGTGGACAGGTACCTAATCAGTCATGAAGTGGCATGCCTTGTACCTATCAAATACCTCGCAAGTGGCATGTCTTTCGTAGACTTGTCCTCCGTGTTCGGGCTGTCCAAGACCCTCTGCCACATGCTTGTTGACGTGCTCCTCATGCATTTCCCGTCCGTCTTCAAGCAGCAGTGGGTCCACTTCTCGACCCGCGACGACCTCGACGAGATGGCCGCAGAGTTCCGCGCCATCAAGGGGGTACCTGCGGTAGTGGGGGCTATAGACGGCACACACATACCCATGAAGGGGATGGAGGGGCACAGGCAAGAGTACTACACGCGGAAGTCCTGTTACGCTGTCCAGTTGCACATCACATGCGACGCGCGAGGCATCATATGGGACTATTTGATCGGATACCCGGGCAGTGCGCACAATCAGAGAGTGTTCATGAACAGTGCGTTACACGAAAGGTTGCACAACGGCGACATAGCGCCATACCAAATAGTGGGAGATGCTGCCTACCCACTCAGGGACTTCTGCCTGACCCCCCTACATGCGCCTCGTGAAGGCCTAATGGAGGACTGGGAGCAGTGCTTTAACTATTGCCAAAGCGCAACGCGCATGGCAGTAGAGCGCTGCATCGGCGCCTTCAAAGGCCGGTGGCGTCTATTCGCGGGCCGCAGTGACTGCAAGCTCTGGCACATTCTTGCAGGGGCGTCTTGTGGCGTCATCCTGCACAACATGTGCGAAATGATGGGCGCAGTAAGGCGCATCAATGCATCGTGGGCAAACTTACCCCGAAACCGGGACCCATGGTGGACTTGTGGCGCGGTAGCAGAGTTCATGTGGGAGCCATGTGACCCATGCACGCAAGAGAATTTTCGTTAAAGGCGCAAGCGGCTCGGCGAGGCTCTGGAGTCGTCTTACCTCACTCGGCGGCGCTGCGGACCCACACCTCCTCATCCGCATCTGGGTTAGAGGGGTCTTCGCCCGCCTGGCCGCAACGAAGCCAGCCGTCGTCGCCGCCTTCGGCGGCATGCAGGTCGGTCACGTTGTCCGCGTGGGCAGGGTTGTCGTCGCGGACATGCGGGGAGGGGGCGGGCTGCTGCACGCGTTCCCGAGCAATACGCGCATCCTGCTCCATCCACGCGCGGACGAGGCCTTCGAGCCTGCTCATGGCCTCTGAGTGGCAGCCTTTGATCGTCTCGCACACCAGCTTTGCAGCGGCCATCGTCGCCGTCTCAGCCACACGTGGGCGCTTTGATGTAGGAGTTCCCTGTGGCGGCGGAGCTGCACACACAGTGGATGCACACGAACATTATACGAGGTGTTATGTACCCTGAACATTTAAATGTTGCAATGTGTGCGTAAAATGTTGTCACTCCTCATGTCATTCAACAAACCCGCGAGTCCCACCGTTGATGACGAGAAATGAGAATGGATGAATGAACTATGAAATAGTTGGGTACAAGTACTAACCCTAATTGGGTTGTACCCCTTATGGGCTACCCCACTACAGCCTACACAAATGTATAAGCTATAATGTTATGACACACCCCGATAGGCAAAGTGGGGGAGAACAAGCGGTCACAAGACCAGTCAAGCAAAGCAAAGCAAGCTCAGGGTGGATCACAACGTCACCACACAGTCCGAGCAGAAGAGTAAGGCCACAAGGCCAGTTCACATGCAAGATCGTATATATAAAGGAAAAAAAACAACAGCAGGTATAGAAAGAGGACAGTACAAACAAGATCAAGAAGTGAGCAAGTGAGGCCAGGTAGGCACAAGACCTAGCAAAGTACAGAAGCACTAATGATCACAAGGCGGAAGGGCCTTGGTGAAGATATCAGCAGTGTTGGCCTCAGAGGCCACGTAGGTGAGGCATAACACGCTGCAGTAGCTCACGAACCAGGAAGTAGCGTAGAGCAATGTGCTTCGTTCTGTGCGACAGTCTATGCTCCCGACACAAGGCCAGCATGGCCTTGTTGTCTACGTACAGAACTGGAGGAGAACGAGGCGGCTCTCCTAGGTCAGTCAGCAGGTAGGTGAGCCAGCGTAGCTCCTGTGTAGCCATGGCCCCTGCGTAGATCTCAGCCTCACAGCTGGAGCCGAGAACAGAAGACGAGCGGGTAGACCGCCACGAAACAGAGCCGGAGCCAAGGCTGAAGGTGTAACCCTGTGACGACCGCTGCAGAGCCTGGTCGTCAGCCCAAGAAGCGTCAGCGTGACCTGTGAGGACTACTTGACGTCGCCCTCCAAGCACTAGCCCCATGCCCGACGTACTGCACACGTAGCGCAACACCCTCTTCGCTGCAGCCATGTGCTCTAGTCTGTGTCTCCCAGGAGCAACATAGCGTGCCAAGATGCTAAGAGGGTATGCAAGGTCAGGTCGTGTGCAGGTCATCAGGTACATAAGGCAGCCAACAAGCTCGGGGTACGGGCCACTCGACTCTACAGAATCATGTCAAACATTATATATGTTATGCTTGTGTAGGCTACAGTGGGTTAGCCTATAGGGGGTACACAATTCTAGGGTTTACTACTTGTACTCATTTCACTTCTAGTTCACACATTCCTGTTCGCTTATTCTCACATGGTATAGAGCGGGTCCTTCTACGGACCGGTTTTTTTTTGGGCCCACTGAAGCGCCCCCCGAGGCGCGATCTTTTTTAGCGACCCCTCGGGTCGCCATTTCCCCTGCGGCCCCGCCGCCTTCACTGACGCGGCCCCGCCGCCGGCCCTTACGCGGCCCCGTCGCCGGCTCTCACGCGGCCCCGCAGCAGGCTCTGTCGCGGCCCCGCCCCGGCCTTTACGCGGCCCCGCCGCTTGCTCTCACGCGGCCCCGCCCCGGCTCCTTCGCGGCCCCGCCGCTTGCTCTCGCGCGGCCCCACCCCGGCTTCTACGCGGCCCCGCCCCGGCTTTCACGCGGCCCCGCCGACGGCTTTGTCGCGGCCCCGCCCAGGCCCTTACGCGGCCCCGCCGCCTGCTCTCACGCGGCCCCGCCCCGGCTCCTTCGCGGCCCCGCCGCTTGCTCTCGCGCGGCCCCGCCCCGGCTTCTACGCGGCCCCGCCCCGGCTTTCACGCGGCCCCGCCGACGGCTTTGTCGCGGCCCCGCCCAGGCCCTTACGCGGCCCCGCCGCCTGCTCTCACGCGGCCCCGCCCCGGCTCCTTCGCGGCCCCGCCGCCTGCTCTCGCGCGGCCCCGCCCTGGCTTCTACGCGGCCCCGCCCCGGCTTTCACGCGGCCCCGCCGACGGCTCTGTCGCGGCCCCGCCCAGGCCCTTACGCGGCCCCGCCGCCTGCCCCCGTCGCGGCCCGGTCACCTCCTGACGGCCCCGCCGTCCCTTCGTGACGGCCCCGCCGTCCCTTCCTGACGGCCCCGCCGTCCCCTCCTGACGGCTCCTGCCGTCCCCTTCTACCGGCCCCGCAACTGCACCTGCTGGCCCCGCCGCTGCACCTACCGGCCCCCACCACCCACCCCCCCTTTTCCCGTCGCCCGTCGCGGCTCCTTCGGGGGCCGCAAGCGGCCCCCTCAGGTCGCCTCGACAAGCGACGGGAGAGGCCAGCAGAGGGGTGGCAGGTGTGTGGCCTCCCCTGCTTCTCCTCCTCCTTCATCTCCCACTGCAGCAGCCGAGCCGCTCACCTGCAGCAGCCGAGCCGCCCCACCGCCGAGCCGCCCTGCACCCGAGCCGCCCAGCAGCCGAGCCGCCCTGCCGCCGAGCCGCCGGGTCGCTGAGCTGCTGAGCTGCAGTTGCTGCCGAGCCGCCCTGCCGCCGAGCCGCCGAGTCACCGAGCTGCTGAGCTGCAGTTGCTGCCGAGCCGCCTTGCCGCCGAGCCGCCCGAGTCGCCCGAGCCGCCGAGCCGCCGAGCTGCCGAGCCGCTGAGTCGCCGAGCCTACTCTTCCCACCACTGGTGAGCTCTTGCCCTGCTAGCACGCTGCGCGTCGCCTGCTTGCCTGCCTGCCTGCCTTGTGGCTTGCCTGGCTGCCTGCCTCCCTGCTGCTAGTCCTGCTCCTGCTTCTACTTGCGGAGCCAAATGCAGCCCCAGCGACGCCGGCGTGAGTCCTTCACGCCCCAGCAGCTGCGTGAGTGGTACGCTGGTTGGGGCTGTAGGGGTGGCGACGCTACTCCTACTACCACTCCTGCTGCTTCTACTCGTGGTGGCGGCCAGATGCAGCTCCCGCGACCCTCTCGCGTGTCTCTCACGCCTCGCCAGCTTCGTGAGTGGTACGCTCAGAGTGGAGGGTCTCTCAGTGCTGTTCGCTGCTCTTACGTGATTCGCACTGGTACTCGAACTGGTCAGCCTTGTGGGACACGTAGTCATACACCGTCCCGCTGCTTCGCCCGTCTGAGCGACGCCTGGCGTACCGTGTTTGGCGACGAGGCTGAGCTTCCCGACTGGGTGGAGTTGCTTAGGCAGAGGGTAGATATATATGCTCTTGACTATGATGCTATTCTCACTGCCATGTATGCATTGCCTACTAGTGCTGACCGTGCCGGTCACCTGTGCGTCCCGCCTGACCCAGGTATAGGACCTGCTGCTCTAGCTACTGGTGAGGCCGCTGCTCTGGGTGCTAGTGAGTCTCCTGCTCCAGGTACAGGTGCGGCTGCTGCTCTAGGTGCTAGTGAGTCTGCTTCCTCAGGTGCGGGTGAGGCTGCGCTCTCAGGTACCGCGTTGGCTTCGGCCTCCCTCACCTTTACACTTGACTCTGGGGCTTCTCGCTCCTTCTTTCGGGACCGCACCACACTCACGCCGCTTGGTCGGCCGGTTGCAGTCTCCCTGGCTAACCCCTCTGGGGGTCCTGTCCTCGCTCACTTCTCCACTGTCCTCCCGTGTCCGGCTGCCCCCTCGGGCACCCTCTCTGGCCTGTACCTCCCCTCGTTCTCGACGAACTTGGTGAGTGGTGCAGACCTACAAGATGCGGGGGTTCACCAGTTCACTCCTGCGAGTCAGCGGGTGACCCACTGCACGGACGCACGCACAGGCCGGCACCTGGCCACGTTCTCGCGTCGGCCGGGGTCGAGCCTCTACACCCTGACCACTGAGTCTCCTCCTGTCCCCGCGTCCGGTCAGGTAGCAGCGTCGGGTCAGGTATTTGCTGCTGCGTCCAGGTCTGGTCCTGAGTCTGCCCCCTGTTCGTGTCGCCTCCTGTCTCACGAGACTCTTCTGTGGCACCACCGTCTAGGCCACCCCTCCTTGCCCCGTCTTCGGGGCATGGCTTCCCGTGTCCTTGTCTCTGGTCTTCCCCAGTCTCTCCCTCCCCTTCCTTCGGGACCAGGACCTTCCTGTGTCCCCTGTGTCGAGGGGCGCCTCAGGGCTGCTCCTCACTCCTCCCAGTTTCCCCCGACAGAGGCTCCTCTGCAGACGCTTCACATGGACGTGTGGGGCCCGGCCCCCGTCCGTGGGCAGGGTCACGAGCGCTACTTCCTGTTGGTGGTTGACGACTACTCGCGTTACACCTCAGTCTTCCCCTTGCGCAGCAAGGGTGCTGTCACTGAGGTGCTGATCGACTGGATCCGCGAGGCTCGTCTCCAGCTCAGGAGGAGCTTCGGCTCGGACTTTCCTGTTCTGCGTCTGCACTCTGACCGAGGTGGGGAGTTCTCCTCTCGCCTTCTGCGAGACTACTGTCGTGCACAGGGGATCCGCCAGACCTTTACGCTTCCGGACTCTCCACAGCAAAATGGGATTGCTGAGCGCCGCATTGGCATGGTCATGGATGTCGCTCGTACGTCCATGATGCATGCGGCTGCCCCCCATTTTCTGTGGCCGTTTGCGGTTCGGTACGCGGCGCATCAGCTCAACCTTCACCCCAGGGTCTCTTGGCCCGCGATGTCCCCAGTGTTACTGTGGACGGGGAAGGTTGGCGATGCGTCTGCGTTCCGTGTCTGGGGATCTCAGGCGTTTGTCCGCGACATGTCTGCGGACAAGCTGTCCCCCCGTGCTGCTCCCTGTGTCTTCCTTGGCTTCCCCCCTGACGCTCCAGGGTGGCAGTTCTACCACCCCTCCTCTCGTCGTGTTCTGTCCTCCCAGGACGTCACGTTCGACGAGTCAGTCCCCTTCTACCGCCTCTTCCCCTACCGTACTCCTTCCCTTCCCCCCCCCACCGGACTTCCTGGTACCAGTTCCCCCCCCGGTAGACCCCCTCCCCCCTCAGGTTCCTGCCCCTTCAGGTGTGTCCCAGGTAGACA